TATATATATATATATATATATATATATATATATACGTATCCAATGTTCCCAGTAGAGCAGCACATATATATCACAGTTGTATGTTCGTACTGTTGTCGCTTCAGCGGTTTTCCTTCAAGCTGGCACTACTACCCTTGCAAGCAATCCTGCTGTTGAAAAACTGAAGAAGTTGATATAAATCGGAAGTCGACGAGTGTTATGGAAAGCAGTACTGCTCGAGTCTGATCTATATGATCTTTCAAGAAGCAGCATAAACCGTATAAAGTTATCCTCCGACTGTGTTTACATTTGCAATATCTATTTCTAGGGGGGCACGAAACTCTATGAAAAACGTGCATTTGTCTGGTTATATGTGTTTGCTTTGATCTGTTTGTTTCCGCATCTCCATAAAGTATTACTACATCATTGTTGGTCTATATTATTGTATTCACTGTGTCTCTCTGGCTGTGCATCCCTTCTGTGGGTGTGCTGTGCTGTGCTGTGCTTGTCTTCGACTGGGAAACGAGGAAAGCTGGTTGCGTTGTGCTGAATATTCAAATAACCAAATCAATATACATACAATTACATTAATTTTCGGATGGTACTAACGTGACACTACCGGCGAATCGCAAATGGCCATGCAGTTGTTCAAATTCTTAGTTTTCGTTTCCGTGGTCTTTCTGTTGTATGGCTTCTGAGATTCTTTAGATATTAAGTGATTTCAGATATCAAGTCAATTCTTTTGGTATGAATTTCTTTGTTTCAGTATCTAGTGCAGCTCTCTGCACCAACATATAGTTCGTCTGCCTAGAAGAGATGTACACGGATAAGTAAGGATATTCACGGACAAACAAGAGTCGGATCATAATAACAAGTCGGAAGGAAAACCGCAACCACCATGCGAGGTGGAAAGGCCTCAGAATGTAAAGTTTACACTCTGATATTTCTTCGTAGATTCGCTGCTTTTCATCTCAATGCTCTATCGAGCATGTTGCTCCGAGCAGCAACTACAGTTAGGCTAACCCCGCAGCAAGTGAACCTTAGCATACTGAGGCAAACAACAGCGGTTTCGACAGCTATTCGCTGTGCATACGGGAGGACGGATAAGCGGAATAACTAGGTAGCTAGCTAGATAGCTAGCCACCTAGGCGGCGGAAATCTGCCTGTCTAGGCAGAGATAGCTGCCAGGATGGCGACCAAACCGGCAGTTAGAATGCTGGGAACGGCAACATTTGCAGAGCTGGTTAGATCGTCTTCCGTCATACTGCTTAGTTCGTCTTTTCGTGCAATAAGTTCCTTGAAGTACTCCTCGCTGCACGAAAGACGAAAGAAACAGACAGAAACAAAGAATACATCTGCAGTTGCTGTACGTATTCGCCTCTGAACTCCTACGTAAGGGCCATCTAAAAACACAACCCCAAGGAACCAAACTTACCTAAAGACCGGCCGTTCCTCTGTCGCTGCAGGACTTAATTCACAGAAAAGCAAAGCCGTCGTTTTTGTTTCTTGTTTTGACTTGGCGTATGTATCAACCGCAGGCGACTGGACACAGTTTGCAATGACGCAGGCGATTTTAGTGCTAGTGGCTTCGAGAAGATGCAACACGCCGGGAGCGTTTGTCTTCTTCCATACCTTTTTCCACGCTTCTGTATCCGCCGGGTACGTTTCCCTGTCGGAGAAGCACAAACAGTCAGTGCGGCACGACAAACGTGTAATGATTTGAAGATGGATCAGCCGAAAGCAACAATGGTAGCATGGACGCTATGGTATGTATCATCGCTGTCGCTTTGTTTTGCCAGGAAGACAGGTGGAAGCTGGCTGTAGCGAATTTTGCATCCTCTTACTCGAAATCGGCCAGTCCGGCTTTGAGGGTATCCTCCACCAGTTTAGGGTAGTCAGGACTTTCTGTGTATTCGAAAGTGACATGGAAGACCTTCTTCTGTACACCCAAGGAAAGAACGAAACGAGAAACCAGCTTTCTTAAGTTCAGTCTGTCTCAGATTTCTGTCAGGTCTGATTACGGTTCTTAGAGTTGAGACCTGCTCCTGATGCCTACAGAGCAGAAGTCGTAGGAACACAATGTAAAGCTGCTTTTATAGTTTATGCACTCACAAGGTCTTCTGTTACCAATGTCGAGCACGTCGCCTCAGCGGCATCACTGTCGGTTTTTATTTTTCCCTTCAGGGCGGCGAGAAGGTCGGTATCCTTTTCGACCGTATTTGTCTTAGCAGTTATTTTTCCATTACGGGCCAACTTGGCTATTAAGTAGGCGTCTGCAAAGGAAGGGGGACAGGAAAATCACTGTGCAATGGACCGATCTGCGTCTGACTCAGCTGAGTTGACTGTTTGACAGCAAACAAGATAGGAGACAGCACGAGGGATATGAGAATCACCAGTGGCAATGAGCTTACCTTCTTTCACTTCTACTAACTCGAATCTATATTTTGTTCCGGCTGCCGCCACAGACTGGAGCCCGAAGAGTCCGGCGAGCCAAAATGCTGCTGCGGTCCTGTAGAGGGGAGCCATTGCGACGGAAGGCAAGAAAATTTTAAAAAGAGTCTTCTAGACAAGAGAAATATAAATATTCAAATTGAAGAGAGCGGAAAAGACGGCAAGCAGTTCGGAGTTCTTTGCGTGGTCCTGCAGTCGCGTGGACAGCGAATGGCAAAAAGCGGGACAGCAAAGCCAAAATTGCAAACAGAAGATAAAATTAAATATAATTAATATTGAGCAACAATAAAACAAGCAGAAATTGTTGTGCATGACTTATCCTCTGAAACAAACCATTTAATTTGAACAAATGCAAAAAAACAAGCAACACCAGAGACGCGGCAGGCCGGCAGGCGCGGCAGGTCGAGGTGGTAGGAGATCTCTGTGGGTTGTTGCTTTTGCCTTGGTTTCGGGTTCCGTCTGCCTTCTCATACCACTCAACGGTTATAAGCCAATTAAACAAATCATTTTTCTTCCAATTAAATCTATATCCATCTCCAAAAACGCCTTTTACGAGGGGATACAGCGGGAAGCCCCCCCTCTGCCTCCTGCTCATTGCGGGGGGTGCTGTGGCACCCTTCCGATGCTCTACGACTGGGCTTTTTTGCGCTGTGATGGCCTTCATGTGCCCTTTATCCGTGGATCGTGTTGTGGCTTAGTGCCACATGCAGACAAGGCAAGCAGCGGCAATGGTGTATGGCAGCTTCCTTGGTGTTGCAAACGTCTCCAGAGCCAGTGGCTTGGTTGTGGTGGCGGTCTGAGCGGAGGGTCGATGCTGGTGTTTGCACGGGCAATGAAGCATCATTTCTCCTCCCTAAACCAAAATAATAATAAATTGGTTTATTGAGTTGTTTAATTGCAAACAAACACCGTGGATATACCCCAGCTAGTCTCGAAAAAAATTTGAACAGATGCTCTAGGTCCTACGGTTCAGGGTTTAGGGTTTCGGGTGTTATGGTTTGGCAGTTGAAAAAGGATCTGAAGCCCGATCTGCCTGAAACTGTTTTTTGGATTTCTTCTGGAGTGCGGGCTGGTTACTGGCGGCCAATGATTGGGGAGCATTTACCGGCAGTGTTAATCTATGCGGCGGAGTGGTGCGTGGATATGCATACCTAGGACCGTCATGAGCTGCAGCAGAGTGAACACTTGAGACGAAAGTTTTTAAAAAAACTGCTAATAATCTCCTCTCGATTCTTTAAATGCCCCAGGCATGGCGGTACAATGGCCTGAGACTGATGTTGAGAGGGGGTGACCTCTAGCGAGTTGCAATAAACCCTGCTTGTAATGACCTCTGGGTGTTCTCCTAACTTAGTCCCTATCAGGTTGCGGACTGTGACGCGATAGATCTCTCGTGACAGAGGATTATTAGTCAAAATCCAGTTCAAGTAAAATAGATTTCCCCGTTTTTCCAGTTCAAAGAACTGTCTCCCACACGGGCCCTCGCCCCTTTCCATTGCAAGTCCACAAGGGGCCGCTCGCCGCGGGGTGCGGCCGACCCTGGCTACCTTGTGCCGGCCCCCGTTCTCCCCTTAAATCTGCTACTATGGTAATGTGTCAGGCTACTTGTTAGATTAGGCTAAATAGGCTCGGATTAATAGTTTCCGTCATACTTATTTCCTCGCTCCTTATACCTTCTAATTTATCTATCCGTATTAATAGCATTTACTTGTAGTGCTAGTGCACTACACTGCTGCTGCTGTCTCCTACAGAGCGGTTTCAGATTAGAGCATAAGCAACTGCATTTCTATTCTTAGCTAATTTGTTAAATTAAGATGTGGACTTCTTTTTTCTCTCAAAAGCATTTACTTTTTGCTGGGGAGCCGCCTGTACAACTCTGCGTCGTTGAGTTCAAGGCGGTGGTGCGACGAGTAGAAGAAGCTGAATTTCAGAGTACTATTGAACAGAATGATGAATTATGTTCAAGGAACAGACAAAATATGAATAATAAATAAAAGAGGTGCTTTTTTATGAACGCTGTTGTAGGCAATATTAAATAATAAATTGGGTGAAATGCTTCTCGATCCACATTGACTGCAGAAAGATTTCCTATAAGTCTGTTCTTCGGCAGCTTAGTTATACAAGACGAACCAACGCATATATATACGGTACTACTGCAACACCACACACATATATATAC